CAAACACCTCATAAACAATAATGAACTAACAGAGTACTTGGGATCGAGCGCAGAACTTGGCCATGTGTCAGATGATTTGTTAGGAGCTTTTTGTATTACTTGTTGGTGAATCAACTTCAGCCTTCGTATCATCATCAAGGATCCCTTGGAGACTGGAAGATCAAGGTCGAGGCTCTTCCTTAGAAGGGACAGCCTGCTGCTCAGGAGAGCCAGAGCTCGACTCCTGTTGCTCTGATGATTACTCCGCAGTCCTTACCTGCAGTTGCTGGCAGCATCACGTGCCCAGCGGTCCCAGTCCGGGAACCGTTCTCCTGAACATTGTGTAACATGCCTAAGTGTTTTATGGAGACTCAAAACACACACAAAAAGCACAGGTGTACGTGTTCCCTTTGAACTTCCTGTACAAGACCTAATGCCTGCCTTGTGCATGACTCTAGTGAGAAGGTTGTGCTGTCCCTCATCTCCACAGCACATAGAGTGTGGTCTGTGTGAAGCAAGAGACCTGTGGCCCTCAAGGCCACTGAGGAACCATGCCTAAACTGAGAGTTATGTTTACAAATATAGGTTTACTAATATTGTGGCTAATGAAAAGCTAATCACCGTAAAATGTTTGATATATTAACATGAAAAATGCAACTATAGTAATGAAAGTAGCATGTAAAAATAATAACATCCTACTGAACAGATCTGTTCCTTGTGTGTGCTCAAAACCACATCTGCTTAGCTTAGTGACAGAATGAATTTTTTCTGTACTCATTAGTAACATAAAACTAATGGATTCTGCTCTCATTCTCACCATAGCAACAGAATTCCCTGCCAGTGCCAGTTGCAGGACTAAATTCCTTTCCCAGTTTGTTCGGTACAGTTTTGTTGAGAAGAGCGGGATAGCACAGCAATAACCTAAAGGAGCACTTAAAGTCATTGAGATTGCAAAGGTGTAACTTAGGACAAAATTTAACTTTCAGATTTTTTTTTATTGCTGCTGATAATGCACAAGGCAGAAAGAACACAGCTTGACTTTCAGAACCTGGCTTCTGCCTGCAGGTCTGGCAGTTGGCAAAAAAGTCATTATCCGGTAAACAGTGCAAATTTGATCTGGAGGCCATTGAGATATACTAAGTGTGGAATCCAACCCCATAGTGCCATTTTAGACAGTCGTTTTTTGGAGTGAAACTGCACTTTAACTGCGAAAGCTGATTATTTCTTGCTGCACTGTTTATTTTGTTCCAAACATTTATGATTTGGTGGAAGCAAGAAGCTCTGCGATAGCTTAAGAAGCTGTAAAAGCATGCACCTGCAAAACATTTTTAAGTATCGTTACTTTTTTAGTCAATAAAGTCTTGAGACTTAGCAAATGAATAAAGATATAGTTCTTGCTTGAGAGAAAGAAGTGATTAAAAGACACATCATTCAGGAGTGTAAATGAGCTGTAAGTCATAGACACAGTCTTTTGAAATCACTTCCAGGCGTCTAAAATGCCATCCTCCTCCCTATCTGGGATCCTAGGCCCCACAAAAAGTGAGACTTGGTTACAAATTCATCAATGTCACATGCATTGTTTTTGTTATTCCCTTTGTAGGTTTTATGGCTGGAAAAATCCATTTTGATCATGTTCTTCTAAGCAGCCATTTCAGTACCTTTCCTGGGCTTATCTCATGCTACCCTAAAACTTGGTCCATCTCCCTCCTCTCCCTGAGCCACCTCTCCGGAAGGCCAGAGTCACCACCTCACTCCTTTCCTATTAAAAAACCCTCTTCTAATTTCCAGCTTTAAATTTATTCATGGCTGGCTTATAACCATGTGTTCTTGTGCCAACATTGTCATTTAGCTTAAATAGCTCTTTTCTTTCCCTGATGTGTCTATAAAGAGACATCATATCCCTGCTCTGCCTTCATCTTGCTAGGCTAAACATCCTGTTAGGCTCTTTTTATCTCCTCTTGGAAGCAAGACCCTCCATCCCCTGATTATCTGAGTAGTTCTTCCCTGCAACCTGCTTGAGCTTTGTTTTTTTTATTTTAACATCCAACCCCTACTTAAAGAATATAGACGTGAATCCAGCACCTCCCTGGAAAATTGTGCCAGGTTAATTACTTATGCTGTTTAAATGTCTGCCTGCTTTCTAGTTGGGGTTTTTGTATTTTAAGCTCCCAGCACTGCATTTTGTGATGCCTTTGTCTGTTAGATTAAAAAACCTTTCACTATTGGGAATCTCCCCATGTAGATACCTTTAAAACATGCGTAGACAGTGAAAAGCTACTTCACTGTGTGTTGCATGGGTTTTATGTCATTTATTCAGACTCTGAAATACAGAGACACAGTCTAGCACTTGCAGACACCACCTGCATTTGTGACATACAGTGGAAGGTTTAGAGGCTATATACACAAGAGAGAGGCTTTTGGGATACTTAATATTGCTGGGGGCAGTGGACTACACAAAGACACACGTACATATTTTGAAATCTGTAACAGGTATGATGCAGACAAACCTACAGGAAACTTGAAACAAGCTGGAGCAGATTTCTACAATTACAATTTTAAAATTTTGGTACAGAATACTATAGAAACTTGAGAACTATAGTAACCTGAAAACTGCTGAGCAATTCCCAGTACGTCATGAACTTTCCTGCGTAAGACGTGAACAGGAGTGTGGGCAGTTCCCCCAAGAGATTACATTTGATTAAGTTACTGTAGCTCATCAGTGGAGGCAGAGTAAAGAGCTGTGTCTTCAGGCCTAGCCCTTTGCAATAGCAAAGTAAAAAGTATTAGCTTAAACACTCTGATGGTAGTTAATTGACCTTTTACAGTGGTTTAAGCAAGCAGCTTTTGCTTCAAATTTGCAATGAATTTGGACCACGCACATAGCCAGCTTGCGCAGCTCTGGTGATGAGTGCTAACTCATTAAGCTGTGATAACTTGCTCACTTGCAGTCATCTGTCCACACTCATAGTCTGTCTCTGCAGTTCTATTTTCATGCTGCAGGAAGATCATTAATGTCCTATACATGTTGCTAAGAAGGACTGGAAGGCTTTAGCTATTGGATGGATGCAACCAAGGTATTTCATACATAAGCAAGTCAGAGTTGTGGCACAGACAAAATTTTTCAGTATTCTTGGAACAAGAAAAGAGTAGAATTTCCTTGTCCTTCTTCCGTGATTTGGGATATGGCTGAATTTACTACCTCAGCTGTCGTTAATAGCAGCTTCCTTTTCCCATAGATCCTACCACTGCATCCACTGAACTAGAAGTTTGCTTCATTGCCTAAAGATAGTATTGTGATGTAAATGATCAAGGCCAGGCAGGCCTCCAAATTAAAACTTCTCTAAGATGAATGGGAGTCATTCATTCAGGAAGTAGAACTGTTGCTCAAGTTTTTGGCAGACTCAGGAAGACAAGGTTTTCCACCCATTTTTGCATAAGTTCATGTAGCAAAGCTTCCCTTTAGAGGTAACATTGATAAAGTCATACTGCCTTTTTTCTTTGAGGTGGCATAGGAAGACTCAGTGATGCATAGGTGTGTCTGAAAGTAAAGCTGCCCAAAATAACGTATGCAATGAAAATTTAAGTTTCTGTAATCTGAATCTTCTGCAGTTTTCCAAATGGGAACTGAAAACAATAAAACAATATAGGGCATTGTTAAATTATACAGATTAAATATATTAAACTACTACAAGCTTAAAGTGGTTGCTAACCATTTCAGAACAGTTTTTGACTGATAAGAATAAGGTAAATACTGCTTGTTCAAAAAATACTGAGAAACAGAATATAAAAAGAAATTCTTATCATGTTTCTTGGTCATGCAAGACCAAAAGTAAACACTTTGAAGCTTATAATTCTAGACAGACTTGTCTATGTCTCATATTTGGCTTGATCTTGAGAGTTTTTCAATTGACTTGGATCAAGTTCCATAATGAAAATCATAATGACTTCTTGGTTTATTACGGTAGCATGATTTTGAAGCCAGTTCTGCTCTCCTACAACTCAGTGAAATTTCTCTAATACTTAGCAGTTATTTCTGGTTTTGAAGCAAAAGTAGAATGTATTGTTGCATCATATGACCTTCATTTACTGCGCTCAATTTTTTTTTTTAAAAAAATATAGAATCCTGTATTTAAAATCTGGCCTATTTTTCAACATGGAAACTGTTGTTAGAGCCCGTTTAGTATTCTCAGAAAATATCCAGACAACCAATATAGTACCATGAAGTGACTCTTTTAAAATCACCTGTGCTGTACAGTGTAGTCTGAAGAACCTGGGACTTGTCCCATCTCTGCCACTGACTCAGTGCAGTTGAACTGCTGCTGAACTGTGCGCTTCCCTTTACGTAAATGCCCTGCCATGCACATTTTACATTTGCAGCACAGATGCAGAAGACTTATCACACAAACCTTCATTTCTGCATCTCCTACCTGTGAAGTTTACAGAACTGAATGAAGATTTGCAGGATCAGACCCACATTATTCCTGCACAATATTTGCAATAAACTGATGATCCTCATGTCATCTGCTGATCTTTCTAAAGAAATAAAAGCAATTATTGTTCCCTTTGTCAGTTTATTTGATCATGCCCATTTCTTTTATTCTTGTGAGTTCTTAAATCTGTGCTAATGAAAAATAGCCAAGGATAATCAGATTGTTTGTGTGATGTGTTTGTGTCACTCCTCTTTTGTGCTCCATTTTGTTCCTTGAAGCGTCACATAATAATGGCAAAATGTAGATGAATTAACATAGCACATTCAAAATCAAGTGCTACGTGTGTAACCTATTTGTGTACAGATATATATTTTGAGTGCTGTCTGCATTTGAAACGTTCCTGTATGGACATACTTTGTCTGTATTTTACAGGACATATGAAGCTTGGCAACTTGAACATTTATAAAAAAAAATCCTAACCATCACAACAATAGTTAAATTTTTCTTATTCAAATACTAGAGTGTGCCCCTGTGCAGCAATAGAAACAATTTAGGTATCTTCTAAATGAGTCGATAATTTTTTTTTCCTAGGATGTAATTGGAAAAGCACTGCAGTATATTGGAACATATGGCGAGCTCAGCAACACAGAGCAAGTTGTGGCTCTGATTGACGAGGAAATGTGTATCAACTGTGGCAAATGTTACATGACCTGTAATGATTCTGGCTACCAGGTAAGAGCACAGCTGTAATTAGCAGAAAGGCACAATGAGTTATCTTTCTGCTGCTGGGAAGAAAGAATCCACCTTCTGTTAATGAGCAGGTGGTAAAAACAGATGTCTAAAATATTGGATTCTAACCCCAGCATGCTCCCAGGCTGTGCCGTGCAAGCCCTGTCTGTACGGCAGTAGGAACACTGCTCAGCAAGGTGTAGTCTGGAGGGCCACATAAAAGCATACCACAGCTCGCCGCCTCTCTCGAGGCCGCTCTCCTCTCCTTAACTGCAAGTGAGAAGTGAGATTCTTTTTAAGAGTAAGAAAATGAAGGAGACCCATTTCAAATGGCAGTAAATTTAGTTCTTTGGAGGTCTTCAAGTACATGAAGAAGAAAGGGAAGAACGCATCCATTCCCACTCCCAGGACGTGGGGACACAGGAGATGTTCTCATTGCCAAATATGCCTTTTAAGAAACCTAATTGCTGTTCCATCAGCCTAACTGAACTTGAACCAATTCAGCTTTCAGGCAGGTGATTTTTTGTTTTGATCTTGATTGAGGTACAAATCCTTCCTCCAAGATAACTGCCAGGGTTTAGAGCAGTAGGTTGAAGTTTGCAGAGGTCATTTTGACCAGAAGATAAGACACCTGAGCTGGGGTTGCTGTTCCCAGTGAACTGTTTCTTTCTGCAGCATATAGTAACATAAGTTGCAGGGAATGTACTGGCATTTCTACGTACCACTCCTTGCCATGTCTGCTCGAGCTCATGGACTGATCTGATAAGAAGGGTTTCAACCCTGGGGCCATAAAAGAGGGCCCATATTCTTTTAGAAAACCAAAATATGATCATTATCAAATCCAGTATGCATTAAGCAGTAATTTCTACAAGAAGTTTTTCATCCATCCTATCATGAGATTAGTTTGTCAAAAACCAATATTTTAACTGGGCAACAAGTTTCCTCTGAACACCGTGACCTTTTGCTTATCCTTATTTCAGTCTATTTTATAGTAAGTCTGATGATTTTAACTACATATAGTAAGTAAAAAAAAAAAAAAAAAACTCTTCCCATTTAAAATCGACCCCTACAATTACAAGAAGCATATCAGAGCAAAGGTAGATGCATTTTTTTTCCACTGATAAGAGAAAATTAACGCTACATCTAAACCAGATTAGATCATTACAATAGTCTTTTAACTATATAAATATATTCTTGACAAATAAATCTTTTAGAAGTAAATCTTTACTGATTCTCCTTCCATCAGATTTCCCAGTGAAGGGGAGGGATGTAGCCTTTGGAGAATAATAGACCATGTTCTCATTTAGTGCAACTTACTTTTCTGTAACTGAAAAATAATAAAATACTTGGCACCAAAAGTACCAATGCTTAAAACCTCAGGAGGTTTTTTTCAACAGGAAGAAGAATATTTTTCCCATCTACTTAATTGCAAAGAAATCAAAAGTCCCCCTCCTCTCCCACTTCAAAAAAATCATTTGCTTTATGCTGATCTTTGTTTCCAAAATGGCCATGCTGCTCTGCGGAGCTGTCACCTTGTAGGACTGGAGCAGAAAAGCTTTCCTTGATGTAAAGTTAATGCTGTAGTCCTAAATTCCTCTACCTCTGAACCCTCTTTCAAGATGTGCATTGTTATTAGGGAGAAAGGAATGAGTTCTCAAACACTCACAACCGAAGCTTGCTTTGTCCTCAAGCTAAACTAAAACTTGTAGATGCAGGGCAGCTAGTACATACTTTGTGCTCTTGCTGGTTGCTACAGCAACTTCTGTGCTTCCCTGGTAGCGAAACCCCAATGTCTCAAACGTGCCTTTGGAGCAGACTTGCAGAAGCACCTAGGAATAATCCCATCTGCTCTCTTGCTCCCCCAGTTGCTGACGGTAGCGAAAGGAGGTTTGCTAAGACACCACTCGTTTGCAGATGAGGGAGAGTTTGGCTTTAAGGCCTGACCTTTCCTGCCTAAAATTCTGAAAAGTAAATTAAACTCAATGTTTTTTGTTTTTACTTCTCTAGGTTTGTTTCTTAGATACTGAAGCTTTTGCAGCTGTGTGATGCTTTTGTTTTTCCTTTTAATAGGCATTTCCATTATACCAGGAGCTTATTTCATTGAGACAGCAATTGTTATTTCACATTCAAATACACTTATCACACTAATTGGAAATGAGGATTCACTGCGTGGAAACATGAGAAATAAAGCAAGCTCTGCCTGCCCAAAACCCAGATATCCCTTTCGAAGATTTGCAAAGAAAAATAATCACATGAGGCACAGCATACTGTATTTGTCACTGCTTTTTATTAAATTAGGTTGTTTAAACTATGCCGAAAATGAAAGTCAAAAGAACGCGTGATGGTGTTTGCAGCCAGCATTGTGCTGAATCCATACAAGAATGTTCTGCTGTCTCCCCTGAACCAACAAACCTGCTAAATTGCTGTGATATGCCATATTTCCTTCACATGAAGGAGAAATATCCTTCTGGGAGTTTAAGCATCATGGGCCAAACTCATCCTTCTGTAACCAGCCCTTGTGGCAGTGAGCTTTCACCGAGATATAATTTGGCCCCTATTTCTAATTTTAAAGTGTTGGGGGATTGTTTTGTTTTCCTGCCAGTTAGCAGTTGCTATAGCTGCAGTGCAGAACCGCACAAAGATGTCTCCAAGTGCTGTAGTACAGGAAACGCAGACACTAAAATGGGAGCAATTTTGACCTTTTCCGTGAGTGACATCAATAATGTTTATTTCTGTTCGCAGGCTATACAGTTTGATCCCGAAACCCACCTGCCCACGGTTACTGACAGTTGTACCGGCTGCACCCTGTGTCTCAGCGTCTGCCCTGTTATTGACTGCATCCGCATGGTTTCCAGGACAACCCCGTACGAACCAAAGCGAGGGCTGCCCTTGGCGGTGAACCCAGCGTGTTGAGGTGATGGGTCCGACAGCTAATGTGAACTTTACAGTTCTTTGATGCAATTGATTTGCTTTCTAATTAGTACTTGAAAATCTACTCTTACCAAAAAATGTAATATTGATAGCCATTACGAAGAACACTGTGTTTTCCAATTATTATTTTTATGACAATTAAGTTTCTAAATTACAGAAAGGCAGCAATTAGTCAGGCATAGCTGTCAGTTCTCCATTATTTGAAATGCAACTTTTTCCTTACAATTCATGCCACAATTTCCAAATTCCTCTGTAGTCTGTTTACTCTTTATGTAATTTCTGGCTGTAAATATAATTAAGAAAGCATTTTTAATGAACTACAAATCAATGTACAAGCTAACTGTTTTCCAAGAGGCATTTTGTAATTAAACATTGCATTTAGTTTTAAAACAGTTTCTTAGAAGATGTAATTAAGTACATACCATTCAAACAAAGCAATGTAGCTTTTATTTTTCTATGGGAAGAAATGAAAGGGAGCTTAAAACAGGATTTAAGAATTGGATTAATCACTTTCAACTACGACAGCATATGGTAGTGTATTTTTATAATCCTTTCTAATTCTTCCTCACACTAGCCATTTTATAGAATAAATTTGCTATCCACTAACACATGCTGGACTCTTCAAATTTGTATGTTGCATGGGTTGCTTGATTGTTCCTTTTTTCCCTAGTGAACAATTTTATCTATCTAAAAATGTTTAAACCAGGTTATTACAAAGTCTAGGTTGGATTTCAGGATTCTGAGCTGTGACAACTTTTTTGGCTTCAAGCTCGTCCTCTAAATAACTTTCTAATTGTGCCAGTTAATGCTCCAAAAATGTACATGTTACAGGTCAGAGATCTGATTACTTGCAAATGGAATACACACCCTGCAGACTACGTTTGCCAAACACATACGTATAGGGCAGACAGGCAAGGTGATTTCCCCCAATGCTAATTTTTCTTTCTTAGTGCTTATGTATCATTGTAGTAACTGCACAACCAGAAAGAAATATAGATTTGTCTGTATTACAGAGCAATATCTCAGTATTAATCCATTTTTAATTTGCACTAGAAGCTTTCTAATATGAATATATTGCAATCTGCTTTACTCCACTTAAAAACATAAAGCCTTTAGTTTCATAATAATAATAAATGATATATCCATTCAATTTCTTATACCCTATATTGTGATCAGCAAAATCTTTGATTAAAAATATACCCTAACTTTCATTTCTTGGTATATGAATTGTGCACTAAATTATGAATAAATGTTGAAAGCAACTTGGTTTGTATTTTCATTTACTAAATAGGTTTTGCTTGTAGAGGCTTGTCAGGTGGTTTTTCATGATCTCTGTAATTCACTCCAGGAATCATTAATGAGTTAATTCATGTGTACACTATTCCACTAATTGCCTACAGTGCAGAAGGCAACATGCTCTTTGCCCCTCTCTGGAATCTCTTTGTCTTCCTTTTACATGCTTTCCGCGCACGCACGCACGTGCTTTGCCTCTCTAACATTTTAAAGTATCATTTCATTTAGTGTCCCTGCTTCACAAACACTGTTTTGCGGACACTTTGGGCTCACATGATAAGACCCCTCGGCAGGCTCAAGCCCAGTGTCTCCACTAACAGCTTTCCCTTCATACTTCAATCTCTTCACCATTGTGGATTTTTCACACTCAGGTAGTAACAGATAATCATACTGCTTAGAAGATATTTGCCTGAAACTTTGTTAAAGCTCTTGGTCTTTCAGTAGTTTCCTATATTCCCAGAGACTCACAGTACGACCAGACTGTTTGGGGAACGTTAGAGGTGAAGTCTTGCGATGCTAGGCATATACCTTTTGAATGTCTTTCAAGGAGCCGGTTGACAAGCAGTAAGCCCTTGAGAAGGGCAGGATGAGGTATCAAATTCAGATCTTCTGCAGGTAGCATTTTATGAACTCAGTTAGCAAACGGAAGAAAAAGTAGCTATCTTATTCCAGGGTATTACCATATACTTCTTGTTTTGTATCCTCACTGCAGAGAATCCAAAGCACGAGAGACTACCATGGCACGTGTGAGTCTGAACTGGGCTGCTTCTGGTATGTCTCGTGGTGCTGTATTACCAGTTCTGATTACTCTTACTGTACTGAAGGCATCACATCTGGTAGTGTGGCTTCTTTTAAAACAGGACAATGCCAAGAGACCTAATTTAAGTAGCACAGCACATGTAAATGTACATCACAAATTCAGCAGTCAAATTTGAGCTTTCCCTATGGTATTCAGCAGTCTCAGGATATCCAGTGTGCACAAGCAGCTATCAAGTAATCTTGAAGGATTAGAGACTTTCTTTATGAGTCAAGAGTATAATCAAGACTGTAATTTGTTTATGGGAGAAGGAAAAGAGGGTTATAGTGTTCAGGTTCTTTCTCACTGCCCGCCCTCTCCCCCACTCCTGTTACATCAAGTCCACTAACAGTGTTCAGAAATGTGTTCCCAAATGAATGTGAATACCTTCTAACTGTCACAATTAGCAATAAATCTAAGTGTTGCAGGAACTCAGAGAAATGGCCACACTTACTTACATTATTTCCTGCAGGATTGTCTTTAAGTCATCACGGTGAGGCAAGATATAAACAGGCAGCCACAAAGGATATATTCCTGGGGTTTGTAGGTTTTTGCATCTGTCTTGGGGAATCCATCCCTTTCAGCCACATTCAGGAGCCAAGGAAACAAATCAGAAAAATCTAGTCGACTCTGCAAGCGCTATAGCCAGTTATTAAAAAAGGGATATGAATTTTCAAAGTGTAAAAGGTTCCAAATTGAGCTCATCCATTTCAGTGATTTAGCTGCACATTTAAGGAATTATGTATTATTAAAGGCATGCTGGGCCAGAGCCTGCAAACCTACCCCTTACTAGTGTTTAGACCTGGTGTCCTATTGATTACCATTATAAAAAACTGTAAACTGCATTTGACAAATTAAATTATAATAGAAATGCCATAGCTCATCCTCCTCTGCTCCACTAGCACATTCGTATTCACATCATATTCCTGAACAGGAAAAAGCTCCCCATGTTCAGTGTATGCTCTGCAGTCCAAGAAATACTTGAAAAAGCTGCCAAATCTGCTTGTGTGAATCCCAATGCACTCATACACGTTCATTGGAAAAAGAGATGTTTTGCCTTGCTAACAGGCTATACAGGCAGTTTGGTTTTTGGCCTCTTAAATGAAGAGACATAATATTTCCAAGGCACTGGATTGACAACCATAATAGCTACTTTTGAAAAATTACATAGGATTTTAAAAATATATATTTTCATGATTTTAGATGAAATATTAATTTCTCTTACTTTTCTCTTAATTTTCCTCTTAGCAAAATTAAAACTAGTCTCTGCGCATGAGTCTGATGAGTAGCCTGTATTTCCAGTGTTGCAGCCAATGTACACGTATGCTGCTAGTTGCTCTGATGCTACAGTGATTGTTAGAGGACGACTGGTTTGCGAACACCCATTTGCTTATTCCATAAAAGTTGGAAGAAGCAAAACACAAATTACTTCTCCAGCCTCCGTGCCCCTCGCTGTTGTCGCCTCCAGGATGCAGGGCCTTCCACGGTGCGGCAGGTGAGCGCCGTGACGCAGCAGCCAGGGAGCCACAGAAAGGCTCGCTGTCTTTTCTGCCTTCTCCCTCTCTTCCAGCACATACCACTCGTCACCTTTGGCAGCTCCAGCTTTGTTGCCTTTTAGCCTTTTATGTCAATGTGGCAAAAGTGACTACTAGCTTCAAGCAAACCATCCAAACCTAAACTGAGTGCCATCAGCCCCCTGCCACATAAAACCACCTTGTTTAACACAATCCAAGGCTGTAGCCATAGAAATACAGTGTTAAGCATAGATATTTCCTATCAGTAAGAAGAGCTTGCCAGCGTCTTCTGCGTGTTAACAGTGTATGCTTCATTATTTTTCTACTGTAACATGGGGTTGGGCATGTTGTAAAAATTTCATATCTTTCAACATGTTTCCTAGTATAAAATATTTTTTAGATAAAATATTTATTTCACTGGCGACAGTTTCACTTCACCAGGCTGCTCCTCTCCTTTGATGAACTGTGGAAGATAAGTTTTCATTGGCAACATCTGGCAACCTGGCAGACTCTCCAGGCAGCTGGATTGGTAACTTCAGAGTTGCTTCTGGGTCTTTCATATAATTAGTCTGCTTATGGATCATCTGGGTTGTTTTGTCTTTGCTGCTGCCATTTTCTTTCTTTTCTGAGAAACTGTACATGCTACAGTCTTTTCTTCAGGAGAACAGTTTTTAATAGTTGGGTTTTTTAATACCAACCTCCAATTGGTATTACCAATTAATATTAATATTAATTAGTAATATTAATAATAGTATTAATACCTGCTGGGTCTTCGGCAGATTTCCTCACCGGCCTTGTTCAGTAATAGAGTCTCTCTACTCTTATTTCTCCCTCCTTGTTTCTATACGTTCTAGCTTGGCCCGATGTGACTTTTGCTGATACTGGAGCAGAGTTTCCTGTGTCTACAAAGCAAGGAAGCTGCAGTTCTCCTCAACAAGCAGATGCATATTTCCTCCTCAGAAATAAGGTCTCTAAACAACCGCAGAGCTTCATGACACACCCACCCACCCCTGATCATTTTCTGTAAAAGAATTATTAAGATTTACCTTGGGTGACTTTGAGTATCCAGTCTGGGAAATGTATGTGAATTAAAGTTGGCCGAATGCTGGAACAGAAGACGCGCCTTCCCACTGGGGCTCAGCAGCTGAAAACCCTAGCTGTTTGGTTTATGCTTGCTTTGCCAAATACTAACATACACCTGAAGTCACTGGGGATTCTTGTGCTGTAGAAATACCAAGCACCTCCAGTAAATGCGCCATTGCAGCATGGCTGAATAGAGGGAAGGCTTTCCGCGGTACCCTGGCTGCTGTTTCTACAGCCCATGTGGCTGGGCCCCCTCTGCAGTAACAGCTACAGCAAAGCCTTCAGGCTTTAACATGCAGAGGTTAAAAAGCACTTACTTACCTGTCTTCTTAGCCATGGGCCTTTGCAGGTATTTGACAACAGAATCCTTAAGACGACAGCAACAAATAGTTTAAAGTTTTTGCTCACACATTTTTGAGGTACTGTGTAACGTTCACTAGAGACAGCAGTCTTAAATGAATATTTAATGCAAGTTCAGTAAAACAGCTTCAACGACTGATCCTTCTTTGTCTTTTCCCAAGACCAAGCACTTTTCTTCTTCAACACCTTAAATCATGGCATGGTTAAAGTTGGGCCTCAGTATTAATGGTTAAAGTTGGGCCTCAGTATTAATGCTTTCCACTCTGAGGGCTCTTTTGTTACATTGCAGTCAAGAGAGCAGCAGTCAGTATCAAATGCTTCCAGTGGACAACTCACTGGTAATTGCCTATCAGAGTCACACATCAATGGCTAGAACTAATCATCAGTCTAAGGACATTTTTCTCACCTGTTTAGTCCGGAGACTAGTAATGGTCACAGCTTTTGCCTTAGTGGAGACAGCTTTAGGCCTAGACACTGAAGGCTTTATGCCCAGTTGTTGAGAACTAACGTTTCTTAGGAAATGAGCTGTCATTATCATGCAAATTTAGATGGCCTGAAGATTAAAATCATCTGCTTTGATTATGTGGATAATCAAAGACCCAGAATTTTGTAAGTCTGCGTTCTGCGCAGGAGGCAGGGCCTTCCGCTTCTTGTGCAATATTCTCTTGCAGTTATTTCATGAAAAGTAAGCAATATGGTGTTTGACAAATCTCATGCTACCAAGAGAGAGCCAAAGCGAATGCAAGCAGTCCTCGCTGTGGCGTACAGCTGCTTCCCGAGCAGAGGCCTGACAGGGGCTGCACGGTGCTGCCTTCCCCGGCCCCGGCCACCTAAGATGAGGCGAATAGGCACTCCTCCTTCCTTTGCTTTAACACAGACTTCAGTAATAATTAGTCTCCTGTCCCAGCTGCTGGCAAGACCATGGGTCACCCTTTATGAGGCTTTGCCATTAGAGCACAATCAAAAGCGCGAGAGGATTCCTTTCGGAAAGCTTTCAGCATTATTATTTGCAAACAAACTAATGCAAAATGCAAGTGAAAAGACAATAGAGTCTAGGTGAAATACCTAGCACGATGGTAAGCATGATTATGGCTTGATGCTGCAGCTACCTCTGCTGTGATTTCCCGTACAGTCACGTGTCTAATAATTGCAGGAACTTCCTATTGTAACACTTGCGCTGTTGCCCTGTCACATGCAGACCAGGCTCTTTAAAGAGCCCCACGCTGCACTCTCTCAATCTTTTCTTATGACTCTGCAGAGGTAAACCCCTTTTATAAGTTTTATGAAGTGCAAACATATATGCCATGTTATGCTACTAGTCTATTTATTGGATTAGCTGGAGGATTTGATGCAAAAGCTTAAGATGATATTGAAAACACATATCACTTCTATTGTAGCTAAGAAAATCAGCTTTAGAATTAGAGAGACCTTGTATCACGCATTATGTATAGCCCTTTGGCTTTTTAGCATGGCTGTTCTTTGTTGCTATAGCAACCGAATTAACCATTTCATTAATATAATGGAATAAAACACATTTATTCATTTTTGCACTCATCGGCAATCCACATTCAGCTTTCGGCATACTTGTCAAGCTGTGTCCCTTTCACCTCAGCCCCAAATATTTCGTCAGCTTTTCCAAAGGGCTTTTATTTTTATTTTTTCCTTGTTGGGAAGAGAGAGCATTGTTTTTGAAGACCGTTATATTTTTAATGATTAAATTTACCTTCATTTCACTGGCTATCTTCTGTTTAGCAGCCCCTAAGTGGCAAAAAAGCCTTCACAGGCAGTCTCTGGAAACGGAGAAGTGGAGTGCTTCACGTAGACAAGAGTAAGTCACTTAAAATAACGAAAACCATGCATTTGTGATCGGCTTGTGGGCTAAGCTTGGCATGATGTGTCCTTCAGTGTACTAGCTGTACACAGACATGTATGCTGCCCAGACCTACACACTGCTGAACTGGAGTGTTAAAAGCAGAAGGAGTGCTACACTGTCTGATTACTGAGGTTTTAGCTGTCCCAAGCCATGCCCTCACTTTGTAACAGTTAGTTAATGAAATAATTATGTCCAGCCAGAAAGCCCTTTACAAGCCGGTAGTGCTAGGTAGCGCAGGGGCAGCGATGGCAGCAGGGCTCCATCAGGAGCCCCTCAGCTGCAGCCTCCCGGCTGCGTTGCTGTGCACCAACAACGCGACAGCGAGGCCGATGATACAAGCGCTTGGCTAGTATTTATTGGCCTGTCCTTCCCAAGCAGCTCCCAGTGCCAACTCACAGGCAAAATTTCAGCATATGAAATTCATCATTATTAGCAATTTCACATCTGAACTCATTGCAAATGAAACAGCCTGTCCGATGCTTTTTTTTTTTTTCCTTTCCCTAATATAATGCTACAGTTAGTAATGTGAAACTGAAGTTTTACTGGAAACAGAGCAGATGTGTAAATGATTTTGAGAAATGAGTTAATTAACTTTGAAGGTATAAGCCCTTTCATTAAAAAGACAAGGCATAGAAGTAACAGCACAATAGCATATTGCCTGCTATAGGACTGTTCAGTCACTGCTGTTTGAGTGAATGTGTAAATCATATAATCTACAAGGGCTAGTAGAGTCTATATTATCCACTTGTGCAGCCATCCCTACCCAAATTAACTTTTAACTACTTCCTCCTAGGCGATTCATTGTGTAAGGACTGCCCAAAGACTCAGGCGGAGAAAGTTATGTAGCTGTCGAGGTAAAAGCCACAGCTGAAGCTGGCCACAAAAGCCCCAGCACAGAGGCCGAGCGCGCGCTGCTGCCCATGCTGGGGCCACGGCCTCCTCCTGCCCTTGTTGCTCTTTACATAGTGAAGGCATGCCCCTCGCTGTTTAGTGATATAGGACTAACTTAATTTTAGCATTACATAGCATGATGTTGTAGGTGAATCAATGGTTTAGTTTGGGGGTGACTTGTCCTCCAGTAGGGAGTTTAGCCAGGAGAATATTTCCTTTAATGATGAGCAAAGAGCTTGTGGCTTCAAAACCATTGCATCTAAATGTCAGGACATTTTCCCCATGCAGGGGTTAATACTGGTACAGTAAGTAATATACATGATTATGCTTTTCTCAACCCTAACAACTCTTTGCTATCCTTTACTAGAACTTGGCAATCTTTAAAAATGGCAATCATGTACTTCAGCTATTCAACAGGGTCAAGTGATTTTCATTTTAGGGGCCCCTCAACTGCAATTAATTGGAGCTCCTCTTGTCTGAATACGAGGAAAAATAATTACATTTAAAACACAGGCTTTCAAACCGAGCGGGGGCCTTGCTGTCCTTTCCTCTCTGGACTGCCACGGCGCAGAGACCAGTCAGCCCCTGCAGCCCCCGCCTCGGCCCTTGCTTTTGGGGCAGACAGCCTCCCGGCGCCCCACCCTGCCCTCCCCCGCCGCCGGCACCTGCTGCCATTGCGAACCTGCGGAAAGCAAGCTCTGACCTTCTCTTAACCTCCTTCTACCTGCCGCAACATGAAGGTTAAGCACTGGCTTACCTCCCTCCTGAGGGCCGGTCCCAGGCTGATTAACACGCCAGCAATAGGCCAGGTCTACACCAAACGGGATATTATCTCACCATCTGGTGCACAGCCTGTATAATGCAGGTAATACGGGTGGCTCCTAAGCCAAATACCCAAACAAGTATGAGATGGCTGTTAAAAAGGTTTTGTAAATCTGAACAGTATGCATAACAAGATTGCGTCTAATACTCATTGCTTCCTGGGGCACC